GGGACAGTTTCAATGTCATTTTGAACAGCAGTAAAGTAATCGGGTAAAACTACTGGCCAGATCAGAGGGTGGGGCAAAACAAATGCGGAGGAATTTTCAGGATCTTGTGCCAGAATCGTAGAAGGGATTTCAACTTCTTCTGGAAATGAACTGTCGGGGCTGTTTATTCGCCGATCTTGGAAAGTTAGTATCACAATGATACATCCTCCAGATATTAACAAAGAGGAAGCAACTCCCGTGAAAATCCAAACCGACTTCGGATCTTCAGAAACGAAGGAAGGACAGCTTGGGCACTCTTCATGTAGAACGACGAACGTGATTAAGACTGCACACAGAGCAATTCCACTGACACAGAGGAATGTTGATATGGTAACGCCAGCTAAGCAGGTTCGGCGTCCAATGCGCCTCGATGATCGTGAACCTTTTTGCTCTTTAGTAGTAGCAATCATCTTCACAGTTTCTCTTAATGATTGATGGGGCGACGTGGAGCTTTTTTGCCGTGGGAATGTTATGCTTTCTTTCACTTTCTGAGAGTTCCTGCATCCGCCTTTTCTAATCATTGGAAAGTTGTTTTATTTAATCCTCGGTTAAGATACCCGTAATTTCCGCATCCTTAAGATGACAATGTCTCAAAGGTTTGAGTTTCGTTTCCTCCGTAGGGATTTAGGTATTTTCTTTGTCCCTCTGTCGTGACAACCGGCGAATAGCATTTTCCTTCCTCATTCGATGACCTTCGTAGTTCACAATAATTCAGTTCACACTGTACATGAAAATATTACGCGCTTATGAGTGGCTGAAAACGAATGCATTCTCATGTAAGGTTTCAAGGAGGGAAAATTGGACAATTCTTCGGGCAATAATTATTTGGTATGTTATTGCAATAAGTCTTAAATTTTTACAAGGGAATACTTGAATAAGTTGAAAATATTTTAGGAACAACATTAGCAGGTTGCCTTTGCATTTTTTTAGCTTACTGGCATTAAGCCAGTAAAGGTTAGTAAGTAAGTGAGTGATCAAGATCTCACGAACCGTGCCGGTCGCCGTAAAATTGGTTCGGAAGCTGAATGTCGCTGGTTCGATACCTCTAGCTGACCCACTTCGATTTTTTTTTTATTTCGAAAGTCTTTTTTTTCACCTTTTTTTCACCTTTTTTTCTACCAAATGCCATGACGCACAATAATGTTGCGCCATGGTGCATGGTGCGTTTTCCAATAATGGGCCTCTAATGGCGTCAGATAGCAAACGCACGATTCGGCGCTTGTTGGCACTTACAGACAACTACAACTTATCTCAGAAAAATACATTCCAGATATCTTACACCCTTTCCCAGAATATCGGCACACGAACAAAATCTGCCTCTTTGTTTTGAAAAGTCCTAAAGGTAACTACAGTATTCAATGTCAATTTTTTGTAAAACGACATAAACAACATTTCAACAATATAACACGGTCACTGTAACTCGGTTTGCTATTCATTACTGACCAGAGAGCTCGTGTCCTTCAGGGACTGACTTTAAAATTAGTGGCAAATTCTACGAAATTCAGGTTTAAAGTCTCAGAGAAGAGGTCACACTTTAATTTGTCTTAATTATATGTTTTATTGAGAAGAACTCCTGCCTCCTCAAGTCAATATATCGTATAATGTATTGTAAGTAACTGTATATTCAACATGTAAGTAGAGAATTGTATTATTTAGTGTAAGTAGCTAGCCCGTATTGCAAGAAATTATATTTTTTGTAAGCAACCATATTCAGTATTGTATTGCTAGCATGAGTAATCTAAATTGTAAGTATCGTAAGTATTGTTCTGTAAGTAGAGTAGTGTAATGAGTCTTGAATTGTAAGTAATGTTTTGTAGAATTGTGTTTTGTGATAAAAGCAAAGGTTAAAAAAAAAAAAAGAAAAAAAGAAAAGAAAAGAGGTCAAACTTTTCCGATTTGCATATGCATCAAGAAGTGAGTTATCAGTGTAAATGTTGCCTTCGTGATCCTGGAGATTACAGCGTATCCTTCTGTGTGGGTGTCAAATACGATGCGTGGCAATTAAGAATAGAGAACAATATCTCGAACCGCCAGCAACACTGCTAAGATCGATCTCGAACCGCGAGCAACACGTGCTGTGTAGAGTGCGTACAGTGTGGAACTTCCAGATGAGAACAAATCATTGAGGCTCGCTAGCAAAAAATGTGTGTGTTGTTTAATTCCTAAACTATTTTACGAGTCTTAAAAAACAATAATTCCAATGCCAGCGATTTACTTGGACACAACATCCTTGCTTTATTTTAGGGTTCTGTTCAGTTCAGGAAAACAAACGCGGCTCTGTTTCTTAAGATTGAAACTGTAGTGCTGCGTCGGTAGGGATTTGTCAAGGTTATTTGGTTTTACTAACTGAGTTGATAACGTCAATTTGCACTGAACAGAAGAGAGTTTTTGGCGCTGACATTTTAAGCGTTCGCCCTTCGTCGGGGCAAATGGCGTTATGAATCAGATCATATGACCCATTGTAGGGTTTAAAGTTCATGTCAAATCGTCATATGAATACGTCGATCAATGATGTTATGTGCCCATTACAGGTCAAGAAGCACAAAACGTCATATGAATACGTCGATCAATGATGTTATGTGCCCATTACAGGTCAAGAAGCACAAAAGCAAAAACCTCTTAAACCCTTTCACAAGATCTCATTAGTAATTCTCCTTACTTTCTACCATACTGTACTAGTTCTTATGATGTTAGTTCGGAGAATTTGCATTGGATCAACTAATAATCCACAAAGTGATATTTTTCTCTATTCTCATCACTTGTCTGCTTGATATGGTATTGATATTGTTAGGAGAAATTCTGTCTTGGTCAATCATGCTGTTGGTGTCATCTTTTTATCCACCGTTCCCGAGTAATTCTCTCTTCTTAACTATTTGTTGACTCTGCTTTCGACTGCTTTTTTGTTCGTAAAGTTTACCTTTGGATTTACGATGATTTTCGAAGATATAACAAATAATTGCAATTCTATTTTAGATGTGATCACTTAGCCGGGATAATGATCCGCATCTCATTGAACGAACGCTCGCTTAGATAGGATTACCAGCAGCACAAGTTGGATAAATCAATTTTGTAATGAAACATAATCAAGTGAAAAGAGAAACCTTGTGATGTATGTTACCTTTGCTTGACAAACAGCGGATGTTGTGTTTGTGAAACGTTTCTTTCCCTTAACATGCGATTTCCGGATTCCACCGTATGTGATCAGCACATGAAATAATTCGTTCATTTGACTGAATTTATTGATTCATTCACTTGAAAAATTCTCTTAACCTTTTGACCCCCAAGAGTGATTAGCATCTAATTTCTCCTTACAGTATCACCCCAGAATCACACATTAAGGTCATGAGATTAAAGGAAATGATCACCAACTTATGAAGCTCTTGATTGTTAAACAAATTCTCCTTGTCAGCACCTTAGGAAATGTAAAGAGAACAGTGTGGAGAATATACATACTGATGTTAGGGTGTAAAGGTTACAAATGAAGAATAAGGCTCCATATACTCATTTAGCAGAAGTGGCACTATGTAGATACGGAATATATTCCAAATAAGGAAGCCTCGACTATGCTCTAATCTTTTATAACGCCCACAGGAAGCGATTCGATGATAAAAGCAATGTCTGGGGTTTTTCACTATTTCTTGTTGAGTTCTCTAGCAATTTCCTCAGGTAGAAAAAAAATACAAAACCAAAGTTATCACAGCGGCCATAAAATCAGAACGATGAAAAATATTATAACTCAATGGAAAGAAGCATACTACTTGTGTGAAGTGCGAGAAAACGCGGGCGACCAATTGATAATTGGATTTAATTTTTGCATCTTATTGGTTGAGAAAGTGGCGCAAATTTTTTATACCAATTGTTGTGAATTGAAAGTCTTGTCGTTTTCCTGATTCATGCGGTCTTTCTACCAATTTTGGTTATTTGGCTTCTTTGGTTCATCTTGAGAATCTATTTACCTTGACTGTGCTCGTGCTTGCCATTGCCTATTAGCTGGATTCAGGTAGGCATGCGTTAACCAACACTTTTAGACTACCTCCTCTTGAAACCAAAATATTGACACAAGTGAAGTGATTTGTTTTGCTTACTCATGCAGAATAGCAAGTAAACATGAGATCAAATTATGTTCAGCTTCTATATTAAGGACATTGAACCAAGGTAAATTACTTAAGTTCTTTCAGTGTTGTACCCCGTTAAGATGCAGGACTATAGTTGTAACTGTAGTTGTCCTTTGAAGAACTGACTAGGTAAGGGAAGCAAAGCTGCTGAATTATCTTAACCCAGCAAAGTTGGGTTAAGATAATTCAGAATAAGTGTGAAATTTGATTTCAGATTTGAAAGCATTGAAAGAAAATCCAGCGTAATTTTCTTTTTGTTTATGATGTTATGATTGGATGCTCTGAAGAGGATACACAAAATTATCCCAAACAGGCCTTTGAACAAAGGAATTAAAAAAACCGGATGAAAATTTAACCTTGGATCGGCAGCGCGAAAAGGCCTTCGGATAACTGGAGCCTGAGCTACAACCTTAAGTCAAGCGCAGAACCCTTCCTGTAAGCATTGTTTGGTCAGCTTTTACCCTTGAAGCACTTTTAAATTGAGTATTGAAAAACGAAAACTAAAATAATAACATCTAGAAATCAGAACAAAGGTTAACATCATCATCAACCAATGAGAACTAAGAGTGAAAACAGGTAACCGACTGACCATTGCAAGTTGGGACTTGTTTTGGTTTTTACACTTGATTGGATGAGACGGTGGCGCGAGTTTTCTTAACCAATCACAGAGCAAGGCAATTCGGATCACCAAAGCAACCAGGATCACTTTCGATACTTCGATACTTCATTGAAAACTGCTCTTTTTCCCGTATCGACAATAGGGACCTTAAGCAGTCAGGACGGCAACGCCATGGAAGACTTAAAAATCATAAAAACTTAAATTAAAAAATGAATTTCTGCCTTTAATTAGAATTTCAATTTCATAATGTATAAAAAGAAGCGTTGAGTTCAAAATGGAAATTAAAATAATTTGCCATCGCGGTTTCGGTTCGCAGACGACGCAAATTGTGGTGATTTCACATTGTTGTTTTGACAGCTGAGAAATGTACAAAGTTTTAAAACGCACGTGCTGAGCTATTTTTCTGCTGATTAGATCTTTTATTTTTCCGCGTCCTCTTTGCTGGATGATAAACGGGTGATAATCCATAGGTTCGCGCAGGGCGTAAGTAAGGCAAAACCATATCAACGCAATCCCGTATTTTTTTTCGAAACTCATCTCATGTGTAATCTGTACATGTTGTCTTTCAGTCGCGTTTCTAGGCTTCTTCTTGATTACTAGTGTTAGATGTTCAGAAATAATTCGTCGGCCCATGAACAATGAATATCTCCAAGCTGGTTAAACGTCTTGTACGATACTTGCAGGTGGTTGGCCTCGGGGCAAGGCCGCTAGTTCGAGCGCCATTTCGTAACAAGGTGGTGGTGTCCTAGGGACTTCTTCCAGTAACGCATCGTCCACGTTTACGGTTGAATTGACCCCGCAGTAAACTTGAATAGCGGTGAAATAATCCGGCAAATCTATTGAAGAAGAAGGACTATCACACGGCTGACGTTGCGGAATATGATTATTATTCAAGACTGGAGTCGGAGATTTTTCTAAGTCTGCAGTTGGAACCCGACATATTACAGCTTGACGATTAGAAACGGTTCCTGTCTTTCTTAAATAAACTAACATCACCAGTGTTCCCACTCCAATACAAAGCAAAAAAATAGCGGCACCCCAGTAAATGGATGCTGCTAAGGAGTCTGGCGAACTGCATTTAGGGCAGAGTAAAACAAAGATGAGAACCAGAGCGGTAATAGTCCCTGTGAAACAGAAAATTATCAAACCAACCGTTGCTGTGAACAGGAACTTTTCATTACGCCTTGAAAACAACGACACATCTTGACTTCTTTGCGTCATCATCGTTCGGTAGGTTGGAATAAGCCGGTACTGACCTCAAATGAAATTGTTTTGCCTTCAGTGTTGAAGTGCACGATGAACCGAGCTAGTTGTTTATCTGATAATGGGGTACAGCTCAAACGCTGTTTAGACTTCCTTTATCTGTGCACTACCGACACCGTGGGGAGGGTCAGGCTTAGGTCGAACGGAAAAACGTCACTTCCGTTTGTCGGCCTCTTGGAAAATATGGCCTAAGGGATCGATCATCATTTATCGTCTGAGGGGAGGGGTGTCGGGGGATTTTGTTTGTGTCACGATAAACTTTACCTGATCCACCCCCCCCCGCTCCGGCAGTTAATTGGAAGTGAATTTTCTATGATCCTCCCATAATACTCTGTCTGGCAAAGACTGACTCCCCCTCCGCTCCCCATGAAAACCATGTAATCCTCCGCGACTCTCCCGTCCCCTCCCCTCCCCCCCCTCCGCGATAAACTAATGACTAATTAATGGTCGCTAAATAATAACTTCAGGTCGGTCATTTTCAATTCGCATCAATTTTATCCATCTTCAAGCTCTTTATTTATTCCATTTTAGGTTTGTTCTTTCTACTTCGCTAATTTTATTCCCTTCCAAAATGATTGAATTTTTTTCCTCTTCTCTTTGAAGTTGTTTTCTCGTTTTAATCAATAAGGGAATCTTAATTTACTTTTTTCCCTCCCCTAAATGGTAATCATTCCTTTTTCTCGTCATAACATTATTCTTTCAGTCTTCCTCTTTCCGCTCACGGTCTCCTTTGCATGCGTTTTTTTATCTCGTCTGAAACACGTTCTCATCCCAAACTGACGTTAACGGCTGCGAAGTTTTATGTTCGCGAGATCGATCACACCAATAGAATATCTCTAAAGGTACCTTTCCGTGGCCTTGGCATGAAAACAAACCTTAGATTTTTTCCCCTTAAGCTAGAAGGAGGTGATAAATCTATTTGTAATTCCGAGAAATACTTCCTGTGAAGTATTAAGTGATCCTACAGAATTAATGCTCTCGCAACATCGTTTGTAACACGTTCCCTTCCCAAACTGAGGTTGACGGCTGCGAGAGAGAATTTTGCAAGACAAAACATGAGGGAAGAGAAGCCACCGTAGCTAGACTAGCCACCACTGGCTTGTAAGCTCAAACTTTCAAACTTTTCATTCGCGTGATATCACATGCACGGAATATTTTCAAAGTACCCCACCGTGACCCACGACCTTGCCATAAAAAAAACCTTACATTTTTCCTCTTTAGTATGACATAAATACATTTGTCATCTTGAGTAGTTCTTCCTGTGAAGTAAAGCGACCTGATGGCATAAAAACGTGTTTGATGTTACAAGGTTTTGAGTATCGAATGACGCTTTCCATAACCACTGTTGCATCATCGAAAACTCACGCTACTGAACTTTTAATCGTATGTAACAACCTTGATACCGGGGATAGCCTTTAAAGAAGAAGCACAAGCTGCCAAAATAAATACAACCCACTCAAATAAATGACTCTACAGCCGATTTCATATGCCACAAAAAATTTGATACTAGAAAGATGCGTGAAACTAGTTTTAATTTGTGTGACAATCAGCACAAGTAATACTCAGTGACATGACAAGCAGAGCCACCTTAATACACGAGCACAAGGAAGTCTTCTCGATATTTTCTAAAGGGAATGAGGAATTTCATGTTTATTGGTTCTTAAGCAACCCTCAGGTGCTAGTATTTAATGTGTGTTTTGACACTGGTGTTACCTTGACTGTAAGCGCCTGCTTGCAAATCAGCAGCAACGCTGAAAGCAGAATTCAGCTGTCGTCTCTAAGAGAAAATTACCAACCCACGTGGAACAGAGCTGAATAGCGTCTGCGCATACGTTAGGCTTGAGCACGGAAAGTTCCGCGGAAAACGAAGTTTGAGTCATTTGCATGTCTGATATTCCATTCTGTTGCTTCTAGGCGTTGTTTCATAGCCGCTTTCTTTTACAGTAGAACCTCAAAAACTTTGGACACCCTCTAAAAATTTTCAAAAATTCATCTTTTCCTTAAAAAAACTGAAAATAGGAAAATGCCTTCGACGACAACAAAATGCCTCTGCCGTCTAGATGCCAGCCCCTATTTCGCTGTATCTTAAACCCCGTGCGCTTGAGACCGCGCTATTGACCGCATACCTGTGACGAAACATTTCGTTATTCGGCTCTGCCATGTGGTATAATGTACCTCTCGTTCTCGCTTTGGTTGGCTCGATCACTTCCCTCTCTGATTCTTAACACCGCGGTACTTCTTCTGACTTCTGATAATCATTAACGGCTCTCTCAAAAAAACCCTGAAGAAATCGGCCCCTCTTATAATTACTCATTAGTATGCCCATGTTTTCATTACTTGCATTGGCAGCCAAAAAATCCCATGCCCATACAATGAAGCTTCAAAACCCCCATGAATAAATTCTAATACGTTTTTAGTTTCTTCCCTTCTCCTGTATCTAGTGCTCGACTTGTAATCATGAATCATCCTCATATAATGTGCTAGCAGCACCCCTTCGTCTTCGGGAATCATCCTTCTGCTCCAATAGCGCATTAGATCATATCCACATGTAGTTTGCGCCATATAAGTAATAAATTATTATTATTATTAACAGCTTTTTCACTTTCTCATATGCCTCCTTTAGTTCTCTCAGTGTCTTCTCTGCTTCACTTATTTCTTTGTCTAGTGTCTCTTTCTCTCCTTTTGAGTTTTGCAGCGCTCTTTCTATAAACAAGGACAGGAAATCATCATCAAAATAATGAAAATTCCAAAACAGCGAATAAATTAATAAAGAATAATCAATTCCATTTATCTTGCGGCAACTAACCCACTTACAAGTAGGAAACTAACCTGATTCCTCTACTAGAGCATCTGTCTCCCTTTGTAAAGCCAAGATATCTTGCTCCTTCTTGGATGAAGCATCTTCTTGGACTTGAAGCTAGCGAAAGTTGTCTTGGAGCGTTTGGCGCTCCTTATGAATGTTAAAAATAGGCGATGTTTCCTAGAAACGATTTACTTGTCGTTTCGAATCACATTTGCCCAAATGGCCTGTCTCTTTGCTGCATTTTTGGCTTTTCCCGCAACATTTACGGTCTCCTTCGGGGCTACAGATGAAATAAAACACTCAACATTGAGCCTGAGGAAATTCAAGATGGCGGCCTAAACTGATCAACGGAGAAAATCGAGTTTACATGACATTTTCTTACCTGGATTCCTCCGAAGAAATTGGCGAAAACGACGCCATTTAGACCAAAGTCCACTTTCAACTTTCGATTTATGGCACGCTTGGCAACTAAACGGTCAAAATTATATTTTTTTAGGGAGGAGGACAGGTATTTTGGGTCTATTTTCTTCTTTTTGTTCTGCGTTTACCTTAACAGTGGAGCCCCCTAAGAGAAAAGTGTTCTCTCAGTTCCAGGACTCTAGAAATACCGAAATCACAACGGTTACGTTGACGTGTTGGCTTCTGTAAACCCGTTGTTAGCCGATAGCGTACCTCTGCCATAAGTGAAAGGCCAGAGCCATTCAATATGAAAAAAAAGAAGGATGGCAAGCTTTATCCAATGTAAAATAAACGACTGAAAGAACCCCTTTAGCTTGACGCTTAAATCTGCTCAAGCCGTGAACGCGTCGTGACGTGACCTCTAAGATAGCAACGGGAGGAATTTACATAGCAACCGACCATCCGTTTACCTGATATATCGTGTATCGTTTGATTGCGGGCTCCAAGACTAGGAGGGAAACTTGTGTGGTGTAAGTCTAACTGTGATGTCCACACTCTTCTTGTTAAGCGAACGTTTTCGTCGAAGCTGTTTCCCGTGTACTTGCTAGTACATCTGTGTGATATTTCATTATTTGTTTCGTGGATTTTCATTTCGAATGCCTTTATTTTCAAGCCTTGCCATGTAGAAGTTTTACGGGGATAAAGAAAACGCTAGAATGAATCACATATGTGAGCTGTTCGAGAAGCTCAAACTTGATGTTGGAGAAACGAAAAAACTCGATTTGGGAGTTGTCGATTCCATATTCAGCGCACTACAAAAAAAGAACGGTAAGATAATTTTCCCGTTTTGCTGAGATGGAAAGTTCTATCAACCGTACGATCGGAGCGCGTAATTTTTAGTAGAGAACGTCAGTGTGTTTTTATTTAGGAATGTTTTGAAATGTCAACGCCTATACATCCACTTTGTGGGGTGGGGGTAGGGTGGGGTTGATGTTCTGTTTGCAAAGTGATTCTGTTATAATTATTTTATCTGTAGAGAGGTTTGATGAGGCAGCAATTAAACGTATCCTTGACAATGTCGTCGCATTGCTGGAAGTTGATGAACCTGAAGGCAAAGCAAAGGTGTTAATGCTTATTGCTGAGATTGCAAAATCAGGTAATTCAGAGAGAAATAAGTCAAGTTAACCCTTTAACTCCCAATGTCTGATTGTTAATTCTCTCCATTTGCTGCTACAAACTTCCTTGTAAATTAGTTACAAGAATGTGGTGTTAGCTCAGATAACAACTTCTGCCTGATAAGTTTGACTACTCTCATTTCCTGTTTGCTAGATAGTGTATGAATATTATAAAGAGAATTTACATGTTAATCATAACTGGGAGTTAAAGGGTTAGGAGAGAGATCAGGGAATGAGCCATGTCCAAATAAAGAGGAAGAGAAGCTGGTTTATGTGCTGTCACAGTTTTACCGTTGGGTCATTGCTTTGTGTTCTTGGATAGGTTCTTAAGTTCTTGGACCACCTGGGTAATGAGAGGAAGAAAATAATCATTGAACCAGGGTGTGTGGATTTGATAAAACACTAAACTCTCAGAAGAGGTGGGCAAAGGAATGTTAGGTGTTACTAAGGAGAAACGGTTTTTTGATCTTGGTAGTGAAAAGGGTTCATGGCTTTCATAGCAGAAATGATGGTCAGTCAATGTCTGACTTGAGGTTTTTCGATTACAACTAAATGCCCATGTAAATGAGAATGTTGGCTGGAGTGAACCTGATAAAATGTTGTGTTTCAATTTTTATTTTTAGAAGAAACAAGAGTTCCTTGTGTAAATGCAGGATTGATAACTAGCATTTTATCAAATCTTGAAAGTGATGATCCAAATATTTTACTACAAGCTTTAAGAGCTCTTGGAAATATCAGTGCTGAAAATGGTAGGTGAAGTTTGGCAGAAATATGACCCCATACCATATAATAAATTTAGTAATAACCAATAACTGCTGATAAATGATTGCTTACTTTGGGATTGTAATTTCAAGAAGCACACAATTCACTCTAACTTGCTTTTAATTATCATTTTATAGTTTTGTTTCTTTGAAGAATAAAAAATTCCCATTTATTTAGTGGAGCTTTGGAATAATGTTGAGTTGTTGAGCGAAAATCCTCTTTTTCTAACTCCCAATTGCTTCTCTGTATGTAAGTTCTGATAATTGAGTGGAAATCAAGAAATCTCATAGTTGATTATAATTAACTTCAACAAAGTAATGATGTCATTATGTCTTATTACGTCATGATGGGTAGTGGCACCTTAGCAGAAAGTAATGCTCCTCTCTTGGAGTCCAGGAGACATAAAACTGTTCCCTATTTATATGTGAATTCTTTTGTGGCTACAAGTTTTGTCCCCAACTTTCCACAATATTATGAGAATTTATGAAAGGTTTTATTAACTCTTTCACTTCCAAGAGTGACCAGAAAGAATTTCACCCAACATTATTAATACATTTTACAAACAGAGAGGTTATGGGAAAAGGTGAAAATATTAACTTGAGGATATTAATGTATTTCTTATAGAACAAGCAAAGGCTACTTTGCTGGAAAACAAAGGAGCAGAGAAGATTGTAAAGAAGCTAGGAGTTCTTGAGAAAAGCTTTGATGAGAAGAGTGACAACAGACTTGAGTTGGCGGCATGTGGATCCATGCTTAATGTAGCAAGTGACGATGGTATTTCTCCAATATTCTCCCACACTAGGCCATTTTATAGTAGTGTACTTAGTTGCCAAGCCTTTGATTTGGAGTGAGGCTGAAGGTGACCTTGTTGTGATAGAGACCAGTATCTAGTTAACATGATAACAAAGTAATTTGCATTTGAAAAGCAGCAAGGTTTGCATCATTACATGGTCAACCTTCGCCTCACTCCTGTTCAAAGGCTTGCTAACCAAGCACACAACTGTAAAATAGACAATTATGAGGGTCTACGGACTGGGAGATGTGGTGGCCTGATGGTTAGTGCCCAGGACTTCTGGTTGAGAGGCATGGTTGTAAGGCCTGGGTTAAAGACCTGGCCAGGTCTTTGTGCTTTGTTCTTGCCAAAACACTTTACTTTCACAGTACCTCTGACTCCTCCCAGGAGTATTAATTGGTACTGGTGTATTGTTGGGGAAGCCTGATACAATGAGGGGGATAACCTTACAATAGACTAGCCTCCCATCCAGGGTGGGGGGGGGAGTGTGATAAGCTCCTGGTTAACAAGTTTTGACTACAACCTAACCTAGTTACAGATATGTTTGTATATCATCTCAGTACTGAAGTTGGATATTGACTTAACTTACTGTTGCAGAAGCACTAACAGCAGAAGCAGTTTCATTTGGGGCAGTGCCATTTTTATTGAGCTTTATTAAACAGAGTCTCCAGTGTAACCCAGCTCTCTGTCAGATGGCACTATCAGCTGTGTCTGTGCTCATATGTTCAGGTAACGGAACAAGTTACTGAACTCTTAACCCTTTGACCTCTAAGAGTGACTTGAATCTAATTTCTCCTCATAATATCACCCCTGAATCACAAATTAAGGGTGTGAGAATATAGGAAATCATCATAGCTGGTTATTAAAACAAAGTTTAGCCGTTGTTGAACAAAACTGCATTCTAAGCCACCTTTAGTTTAGCCGAACCTTTTTCACTGCACATTTATTTTTGTGACCAGGGTCAAAAGCTAATAGTGGAAAGACATTTTTTGTAATCAACCCTTTTACAGAGAATACCAGAGGCTCACTGCTTGTGTAGAAGTGCAGTTTGGGTTAGATCTTGTGTAAATAACTGGCATTTGATTTTTAAACACATTCTCCTTCTCAGCTTGTTAATCCTAGAGGTAACCCTTTAACTCCAAGATCAGATTTGTAATTCTCCTTACTGTCAACCATGCGATTTTTATAATGTTAGTTCAGAGAATTTAGTATTGAATCAACTAATTATTCCCAAATTGATATTTTTCTTTATTCTCATCACTCATCTGGTTGATATTGTATTGATTTTGTAAGGAGAAATTCTGTCTTGGTCAACCATGGGAGTTAAAGGGTTAAGCTGCTAGATAATAGATTTTGTTTGTTTGGCTTGACTTTTCTGGTAAGAATGTAACCCAGCAATACCTGTGTAAAGGCATATGATTCATGCAAATGAGGCAAATTTGCAGATTTATTTGGATATTCTCTCTTTACATTTATTTGCTTTGTTGTAATTGGATTAAACTGCAAAGCTACTGACAGTGATTTATTGGCTCATATTTGGTTTGCTCTCTCTTTTGGCCTTATTTTGATGATAAGGATTTAACTGTATAGTGTTGTTTACATATGAACCAACAGAGAAAGGAAAAGAGAGCTTTACAGAGAGTGAGGGCGTGGCTACTTTATCAAAGGTGATGCAAGAGTCTGATGATGATGAATTGGTGGACTCTGTGCTTGAAATATTCACTTCTCTCATCACAGATGGTGAGTTTAGTTTTAAATTAAATAAGATGCTTGAAGGGGAAGGGGGGGGTTGGGGTCAATGTGGGCTGGGTTATTTGTTACCTTCAGTCACTCTGGTCATATGTGGAACATAATAATGTTAATGTTGACTCAGTATTAGCCTCTGAAACAGACCTTCTTTTGGCCTGTCATGTAAGCCTTTCCTGTGATGGGCCAAGAGGCAAAAAAATAATGATAGTAATAAAAAGAAAGAAAATGGAATAAGAAAGTCAGAAACATGGGATTTTATGTGCATTCACCCATCCAAATAGTAACCCTTGCCAAAGGGCTTAACTTAGAAAGTGGCTAATTTCCATATCTGACTATGACAACACTCAAATGAATTTGTAGATATAAGGTGGTCTGCCACAGGTATCCTGTGTCATGACCCATGACCTTTACCTTCTTATACAAAACAGAGATATTTTAAAAGCAAATAATTTAGATATTTCTTAAGTAACAGTAATTTTCCTCTAGACAATGTGAAGAAGGTGCTGGTCCAAGAAGGATTTGCAGAACAGTTGGCTAATGTGGTGTCAACTTGCAAAGATGCAACAGGAGATGAGATTTTAAAGCAGAGGACACAGTCTGCAGCTGACATGATAGTGATGCTGCTTACTGAAGGTCAGTACTTAATTTTTTATACTTCTTAAGTTATTTATTGTTGTTTTTGTTTTTATTTTGCAATTGGAACTTTTTGCGAACAAGTATTTCCTGGGGGGAAAAGTTGTCAAGAGGTTCAGGGCTTCATCAACCCTTTAACTCCCAAGATCTCATT